TACATAGTGGGCAGCCAGTCGCTCCCAGCCTTCTCGCAAACACAATCAAGGTTTTCTTATCAGACACATCTTAACTCACCTCACCTCGCCTCCGTAACTTCTGTTTCCCAACATTGCATGCCAACATCAGAACTGTTTCTAGCACACTGTAAGGAACATGTTCCAGAAATGCTTGGACAAGATCTACACACTCGAGAGAAATCTGCTTTCACAAAAAAAGGAGGGGGGGGGGGGGGCTATCTTGACGGAGTATGTGTTGCCCAGTTTCGTATCTCTGACAATCTCTGGACTTACAGATCCAGTCCAAAAACTTGGATTCCAGATCGTAGATGCTGAAACACAACTTCAAATTCTCTGACAAAAGACCAAAATAAAACCAAGACGTCCAACAAAATCCAAAAAAATAATGAAGTAGAAAAAAAAAAAACTTTTTTGTCGCATGCAATGACAACACAAAGTTTAACACTTTTAAGGGCAATTTGCAGTCTACATCACATTTCCATTATTACGAATAATAGAATAAAAAAAGACATGATCTTATGACCGTGCACAGAAACGCATATTCTAATACTTTGTAAAACCTAATAAATTACTGTATGGGGTGGCTCGCAAACAGTCTCAACAAACCCCGTCACGACTGCAGCTTCTCTCGAGTAAAATATAGTCAGCACAGCAACACTGTTACTTGCAGGGCAAGAATCCTCACCAACACTTGATTCATTCTGGAAAGGGTAGTTGTTTTGCCCTACAAGTGTTATTGGACTTTCCATGTTTCATGCATGGGAGAAACCCCCTTTATTGCATTATGTTGGAGCATCAAAAAAGAAAGACAGGGGCTCCTGCGTCAAAAACCAGAATAAAGAGTAGTCTGCATGAGCGCACCTGAATCCACATCAAAACAACCAGGTACAAAAACACGCCCAATACAACCGAAAAAAAAAAAAAAAAAAGAAAGCAAGACGAGAACTGGGGCAATTTTTATTTAATTTAATAACTGCTAACATTTAATTTATTTAATAACTTTAATCTAATTTAATAACTAGGCCTGATCTTTGGCTGAGGTCTCACTAACAATAAATATATTTTTTCTCTTCCAAGTTAATTTAAAGACAAACTAGTCGGTACACTTACCTCATTCATTTATTTTAAATTGTCTGCAGTGCTAATCCAGGTGCAAACAGGGGTATTTTTTTTTTCTTTATAATTACTTTAACTTGAAATTTGTGGTGAAAAACACCAAGTCATTTAGATCTCCAGAGATCATGAACTGATCACTTTGTGATTTGAAACAAAAACACTTAAGTGCCAGGAATTCAAACTGCCCAAAAAATTTCGATACAGTCAATTACGCCGACGGGTCGCTTTGAAGCAAGACTTCAAGGAAACAATGTCAGCACCTGCCCAAAGCGACCGAGGTCGGTAAAACGAAATAAACTCTTAATGGGGTTCCGAACATTTCATTGAACGCCGTTTCATCGAATAAGTGGACCTTTCATCGAACGCCAATTCATTGAAAGACCTTTCAGTGAATCGCTTGACGCCGTTTCATCGAATTCCACTTCAATCAAAGTTTGGAGCATTATAGTGCACTTTACATTATTTACTCTTTCTTCCGAGTTTTGCTGTCAAATCGCTAGAAATAAAATGACTAGCCTGGTCACTATTTTACCAAAAGTTTGGCTACAGAATCAAAATATAATGAAACTTGAGTGTGTATTAGTGTTTTCTGTTAAGTGGCAGTACTCCACCACATATTTGGTTTCCTATTTGTTCCCATACAAAAGGTAGACCCAGAAAGGACTATAAATATTCTTCTCTGCACTTGTTTTTCTTTATCTATTTACTCCAGTTTTCATTCAATCCTAGGAAATAGCTTTCTTTCTAAGAACAAAGGTTGAAAAGCCAGTAAGTCCACAGTTCTGCTGATGACGAAAAATAAACAAAGGAAGACACACCTTTTTTTCTGCTTTGTGCGACATAAATACATGCCATTGCTTCAAGGACGACATGGGCTTGAAATAGAATACGTCTTTTCTAGAACGTGGAAACACCCTTGAAGGAATGTACCTTCGTCACTGTACCCAATGATCACAAGTTTCATAAAATGTCAAGGCAGTGTTCCCGTTATTGGCTACATTAGCAGCACAAACCATGAGTTACTGTGAAAAAAAAAATTTGAGAAGACACTTAAAGAGACACTGACACTCCACAAAATTTATCTTTTTTATTTTTTGTCAGGCAATTTATTATGGTGTCACAAGACTACCCAATCAATATTTTTCTAAAGCATTACATATATTTTAGAGAAAGTAAAAAAAAGTAACTGCTCAAAACCGAAACTGGACTGGGGAGGAAAAAGAAATAGAGGAGAGAGGTGGCAGAAGTCACGTGGCTGTGATACTTTTTTTCCCCATTCAACGTATTTGCAGCTTTCTAGAATTCACAAAAAATGGGTATCATATTTCTATTCTATTTCTGATATTGTGTGTTTCTCTTCGATGATCCACGACTTTGATTTTCTTCGGTGGTTGTGTCTAAACCATAGAAAACAGCCCCTGACCACGAAGAAGGGAGTGAGCGCGACTCAAACAGGCCAGTTCTGGATCGGCGGTTTTCGGACGAAAAGAAAACGAATTTCGAGCCGCTAATTGTTTTCTGGGTAGTTAAAGGAGCTGTGCAACAGTTTCAGTGCTTTGCTTAAACAATTTGGGAGTTGGTATCTCGACCTTTCTCAAGTAAAGAACAAAAAAACCGCTTTTGCCTGCATGTCCTAGCTTTTATTTTAAAAATGGACAAAGATTGAGGTTTTCGGAACCTCGCAACTCCTTCACCATCTTCCAAGTCACGTGCACTGTGACATCATGGCACGGGGCTCCGGTGAAGCTCTCTCTCTCTCTAGAGCCATCAGTGAGCAGCGAGAACTCGTCCGCTCACGACCATGTGACCACATGCTAGCGGGCGAAATATGGTGAAAGGAGGAAAGTCTCATCTGGGTCCGGCCATACCCGTCCGGCACTGTCCTCCCCCCCCCCCCCCCCCCCCCCCCCCTTTTGGCTTCTGGCGGCTGTTCGCGGTAGCAATAAGAGCCGACGGTTTTGTAGACCTAGGGTAGATGGCACCGCTAAAAATTCGTATAATAAAAGTTTTGTCAATGATACCAGGTTTTGACGCATTTATATTTATGTTGGATCGACAAGATTTATAGAAAAGACACCTTTTATCGAGCAGGTATTCGCACAACTTGCTATCTTTCTACAAGACCCCCATTGACGTCATGCCGCGTGGTTCTTATGGCCGCCGCTCGAGGCCGCAGGTAAGGAATATTCTAATTTTTGCCTCGCAATTATGCAGCGGAATCGCAACATTTAGAAGGAAGGAAGTGTGTTTTCTGTCTTTTGTGACAAGATGAATAATGTCAAAAGTAGAAGATGCCAATTCTTTCAACAATAAAATTGTTGCACAGCTCCTTTAATTAAGCTATCCTATGTCATGTACAAATAAAAACCTTGGCAAGCATAAATACTGTCAGTGTCCCTTAAGCGCGAAACACATGTACGACGAAACCGTCCGAACCGACGTCCGACCGCGCAATACGACGGTCGGAGGCGAGGGTTTTCAACGCTCTCCGATGCTACGAAAACCCTCTCCCCCCAAGGTCATTCCGGCAGTCCGCACGTCGGATCGGAAGGTTTCGTCGTACATGTGTTTCGCGCTTTAAGGCGCAATCACACCGGATATTGAGCAGTCGTGCGATGAGACTAGATCACATTGAAAAAAATTAGATGGTCACACTGGCGTGCGCGATGAGCAAGTCCAGCGCCTCCTTTGGCGAGTCGCTTTTCAAAAACTCTCACTCCGAACGCTGTTGACTGGCTCAGCCGCTCTGCAACTAGATCACATCGCAAAAAGTCGGGTCAGCAAGCAACTGCTCAAATCGCGTCGCTTTTTCCCCGCGATGGTTGCTTTTGCGTTGAAAGTTATCGCACAACTAGATTGCATTGCCGGTGTGAATGTGCCTTTAAGAATGCTTAAGTGTAAGAATGCAAAAGCATTCGTTACACGCAGCGCCATCCTACAAGCAGCATGCCAAGGCTTCCTTTTCCATGCTGCACTCGGGCGGTGACATCACGCTCCCCCACTGCGCAGGCGCGGTGGGGCAGCGTGACACCACCGCCTCGGCTCCACGGCTTCAGTGACCATGCATCTGCGTTGCTGTGCTCTTCTTTGTTTTTTTTTTCCAAGGCGCATCCACTTTGACCTTTAGCAGCCCCCAGCAGCTTCCGTGACGAAGCATCTGATTTGACGCGTCACAGCCAGTGGGAATTTATGCCTCAATTCGCTGCATGCATGGGCTTTGCTCCATGGGACAGGAGAATTTAGGGGCTGCCAATTGCCGTTTTGCTGTCTAGTGCCGTTTTGCGGGGCTTCAAAAGCTGATAATGCCAGTTCGCTCCATAAAACAGTTAATGCTTTCGCATAAAAAAAAAAAAAAAGTGTAGCGGCGAAAATAAAGTTTCTTATTTTTAGCCCTCTCTGTGGGGAGAGAGAGAGAGAAAAAAAAGTCTGCTATTCTTTTAGTTTTTGATGAAACGGCGTTCGATGAAATGACTTTCGATAAGAATGGCTAATTGGGTTAGTTAGTTTTGCATCTATGATGTGATACGCCAATAAACACCGACAAAAACGAACGAAGAACTCCCCAGTGATACACGTGCCGTCCGACTTTCTTTTGGACGGCACTTGTAGGCGCGAGTAAGTGCCGTCAGCCGGCACTCTGAGTCTACACACAGCTTTCGATAAAGTGGCTCTCGATGGAAAGGTATTCGATTAAACGGAGTTCGATGAAATGTCCAGGCCCACATCTAATAGTTTCCGTGTCAAACAAACGAATGGCATCTAACGTGCCCCAGCCAAGGCTTGGGAAAATTTTGACCGTCTCTTTTTCACGACGCCTTGAGGGCAATACGTATGCGTCGACGAGGACTAGTTCACTCACTCACCCACCGCCGACACGACTGTTGCAGGCGAATGAAGCAGAGAGTCTGGCGCACGAGCTGGTTTGCGCACAGAAGCAGAAAGGAACTGCTAATAAAGCACCCGGGCTAACATGTCGGAATCCATTTGGTTGTGCCGGCCGACGCAATCAAATTTCTGGAGATCACGCAATCATTTAACGTCGACACGAAGCTACAGTTAAGACGAGTTTGGATGATTGATCCAGTCACTTTCCAGAAGATAAAGAGATAATCAAAGCACATTCCGGCAAAGCAACAAGCAGCCACCACCCAAGCAAAGCTAAACAACACACAACCCGCGAAACAATAAAACAATTGTCAAACAGACAACAGACGCGCCAGTAAAGGTTCTATTGGATTGGATTGGATAATAATGACTTTACTTGTACTGGTATCCTTATTTCAACGCCTTATTCGGATGATTATATTATTAGATTAATATTCAGTAGGCAGTATTATATAAATTTCGCGGAAAAACTGATTATTTACGCTTTATGTTCGTGTTACGCAAATAATATCTTTTTTTGTTGTTGTACTGCAAGGATGTTCAAAAGGATTCATTCAAAAGGATGTGTGACTTTAGTTTCAGTTTCTGTGTGCCGTCCGCGGAAGAAAGCTCAAGAATGCCACGGGGTGCGTTTTGAGTGGATTGTTCAATTTCTAATGGCCTCGCCTTTAACTCCGAGACATTTCCTGGTGAGTTCTCACCCTGCTTCTTGTGAGATAAAACCAATGGTCCGAGTTCCCATAATCCTCATTTGGGTTACCGTCGAATGGCACCAAGTGTGAAGCTAAGGTTGAAAATATCCCACCCTTGCCGCACTGTTTTTCCGTCATCGGTAGAGTTTGCAGTTTTTAAATGAAGAATCTTAGACTTTCTTCAACAGTAAACGGCCAGCTCTGAACTAGCCTTAAATTTGCGCAAACGTTGTGCAACCTTTGCTTTGTTAGTTTCTACGTATATTTGCCGAGAGCGCAATCATGTTTTAAATAATTGAATTTTGTGGCGGACCAATGATGTATATTCTGAGAATTTAAATTTAATTACGATGCTTGTGCACGAAATTTGAGGCGGATAATTACAGCTGCCGTTGTGCCGCTTGATGGCCACGAAATCATTAGGTAAACTTTCATACACCGAACGCTGTCCGTCAGTCTTTATTCAGCTGGACCACCGATACTCGACCAGAGTCGAACTTGGGCAAAGCAATGCTCAAGATCGACTCAAGACAATAAAACTCCAATTTATTGGAGTTTTACTGTCTTGATTCTCACGGCGGCCTACCGCCCTGGGTGCCACTGGCCCTAGTGACGCCACCACCCGGACCTGTAGATTAACAGAGCTGATTTTTCCTACATTCTCACCTCCCACATTTTCCTTTCTGTCTCTTTCACTCCCTTTTCCACTGAAGTAGTCTGCTCAGCCCCATTACTAGGGTTCGGTTTGTTCCATTTTGTGTTTAACCTTTTCATTTATAAATACTTGAATACCTTCCGTGCCCATGGCATGCCATCCATTTCAGTCAACCTTTGTTCAAATTTCAACTTCCTAATTGTCTCCCTGCTCTTAAAAGATGACCAGCCCAGGCCCGCCCGGACAAAGGATGGAAATCTAAGAAACTGTATTTGTGTTTGTTTGTCATGAAAGATGGTATAACATAGAAATATAGCTCCATAGTTATCCCCATACTAAAACTAAAGAAAACTCGGACATCCACTGCCTACAGGCTTTGAAGCGCATAACTAATTTTTCTATTTCCTGCCTGATGAATACTCGAAATCTTCAGTTTCTATACCCATTCTCCCATCACCTAACAATTGGTGAACTGGCATTAAAATAGTGCTTAAAGCCTCGTAGCAACATGTTATACAGTGCTAAAAACATATAAGGTAATATCCTAAGCTGTGTTGAGAGCGATGGGTAATTTGGCTAAAAGGAAATATGACGATTTTAACACAGCACTTTAAAGCTGGCTTCATTCACATGAACACTGCACTAGTGTGGTAGATCGGTTTGAGGGAGAGAGCAGGTGTGTGTAAATTTCCATGCTTGGCCACACTCAATCCCGATGCTGTCACACTGGTGGTGGTGGTTGCAAAGAACTGGTTGTGCCAAAAGCTAGCTGGTAATGATGAAGCCCTCTCTGACCCATGGATTCCCTAGGGATGTATTCCCTAAATTTCCTTTGAGACAATGGCCACAGATTTTTACCCCAAGGTTTAGAAAAGGCTGAACAGACAAGCATCGAAGATCTCAATGCAATGGTATGGCACACAACACTGTCCACATTTAAGGCCAATTTCAGCAAACCAAGCTGCACTGCTAGTGTCCAAGAACATGTAACAGAGCAAAAAAAAACTCTCCAGTTAACGTCAGGCCCCCCTATTACAGAACATTTAAACACAAAAGTGGTAAAGCCAGGAAAGCATGAACAGGACAAGTGGCATCATCACTGAATAGTATATAAAACAATTTTGTACACTACCAAAACAAAATGACGACTGGAGGCAATGCAAAAAACACTCGGCATATTTCTGTTAGAAGGACTGGGATAAATGTACTAGATATAAATGTACCCCTCAATATAAAAAAAAAAATATGAGGCATCTTTTGAGATTGCTGAAAGAAGATGCAATTCTTTAGTAAAAGTTCACAAAATGGAAGTTCTTTAGAGGGTGTCATTTAGGGGAAGTCCTTAAGAGGACTACTGCACCACACTGGTTTTCTTTGCAAAGATGTGACATTGGTGGATTGGATCAGGTGTGTTGGCTATTTGGGGTTGAGAAAACGGACGATAAATTGGACACAACCGGCCAAAGCATGGCAACATCCAATCTGATCCAACGGCATCAAATCTAAGGGAATAAACAATCTATGTGAAGAATCAGAGCCGCCGGAAGTTGGCCTGACTGGTGGGCGCTCCATTCTACTAAGTAGCAATGTGCGGATTCATTGCATTTGCTCCGAGACAATGCGAGAGAGATTGACCTGCAAATAAAAATTGGGAATTTAGTAATGTGTCACTGTGTTCACGATGTCTACAGGTTACAACAGCGGCATGAGAAAAAAGCAACTTGAGGCATGGTAGTTCTACACACAAAAGTACAAAGCAAGGAATTTTTCTGTCTCCTATCTCATAAAACAAACCAATGTAAACTTGCAATAGTTTTGCCCCTACAAGAACACCTGGAATGCGTACCAGGTCACTAAGGGTTTGTTTGCAGATGCAAGTTTCCCTCTTAGAGACATTTTTTCTTACAAGTACCCTCCTCTGGGGGCTTACTGTGCATAACCACTAGCACATTGCTACAATCCTTTGTTGCATAGTAGCCACAACAGTGGACAAAGTTATTTAATTTTTAAATAAAGTGCCAGGCCCTATAATATTTGTATGCATGGTGTCCACTTCGGTGGACATATGTGTTCTTGATTGCCACTCATAGATGGTGCCACCATTCCACTGGTGCCGACATATTCAGCATCCAAGATGGCAGCTTCCACAAATTCCAGGTATGGCACACGCATCCTCGCAAAAGTGTCGTACATGGTGGCAAAAGCTTATTACTCCTCTGTTAATTGTTTTCATGCCTTCGAGGAAGTCTTGAGGTGTAATCTGTATAAATATGAGTGTTCAATAAGTTTTCATTGTTCAGTAAGTGACCTATTTGGGGCACACCATGAACAGCAGCATTACGGAGCCATGAGCTATGCACAAATTGTATTTGGTCAGCAGCGCTGTAAATATACTGAAATGGTCCAATTTTCTGTCGTAATGAATAAGGCGCCATAATTTTACGTATTAAAAAAAAGAAAAAGCTATATTTTATTTTTTTGTTTTAGGGGCAAACAATCTGCTACCGAATCGCCTTTGAGGGAAGCAGACATTGATGCTTTATTGGATATTCCACTATCTGACTCAGAAATCAATGCCCTACTCTAAAGGGATGCTGAACCGAAACCTGGATTCCACAAAACAAGCGGCAAAAGCGTGCAACGGGATGCTACAAACACCAAAACATCACTCATATAGCGATATCTTGAACGGATGACCATATTTTTCAAAAAAAGGAGGCGCATTTGACAGAAATGTTTACGTCATGCTTCTCCGAGAAGGAGAGGGAACGGCCTCGCGTCTTCTCCGCCTCGCCGCCTTGAGGGAGCGAAGCGAAGAGAGAAGGACACGGGATATCTCTATGCCACGTGCCTCGTCAACCTGGTTCAATCTCAACCTCTTTTTCTAAAAATATGGCCGTCCATTCGAGATATCGCCTTACGGGTACTGTTGTAGGGGTTGTAGCGTCCCACCTACATCTCCTGCATTGTATTTTTGAAATCCAAATTTCGGTTCACCATCCCTTTAAGACGGTGTGCCGTCAAGATTGAAGCGATGATTATCTTTTAGAGAGTGAGGATGATGACATTAATTATGCCATAGAGGATGATCACGGCAGGTGTGATAATAGCTCAGAACATGCGCGACAAAGTGATGACAGTGATTAAGAAGATCGCAACACGGAAACCCAAGCTTTGCCACCAAGAAAAAAGACGTCGAGTTCAAAAAGAAAAGCCAAAGTTATGGTCATGGGACAAAAGGATCTTGTGCCCCAGTGCATGCTGTCCACCGTAGTGGACATTCTGTAATTAATAAACTACATTTCTGAAAGCTAAGAAAAAAAATCCTCGGTCTCAACTCAATACCAATTTGGTTGTAAAAACGCCAAATTTTATGATTCACATGGACGTTTTTGAAGCATGCAACAAAAGGTTAAGGGCATATGCACCAGAGGTATATTTTTAAAAATTATTTCATATAATATGGAACTTAGACTTTTAGTTTCTGTCGCTCAATCTTTATAAGTCTGGTGTTATATTTGATATAGCTTTTTTTTTTTAGGTCTTTCATGCAGTGTAAAAGGCAGAAAAAACATGTTTTTGTGCACACGTGAGGCATTTCAACGCACTTAGAAAAACCTACAGCAAAATTCTGAGAGGTAACCCACCTAACACCAAGAGCAAATTGGCTGAAAATATGGAGCGGGGTAACTTTCGGTGTACAATCGAGGGAGGTTTTAAAAAGTTGCTATTTCTAGGTTGTGTCCCTTCCAAGCTTGTTATGGTGGCAGGGGGGCAACGAAGCAAAGATGACTGCACTTCCCAGTCAGCAACGCTCGCTTATATCCCGCCATAGCGAACTAGCCGCATTTACAGCGAAGCCATTATTGATCCTAACACAACAATTACT